CGCGAGCAGTGGAGAAGACAACTTCAAGTTCAGCAAATCAGTTGCACCAGTTAGTTTTCGCCGGCCACCAGGGCCCCCCCGCGGACCTTCCTCGCGGGCCCACTCCAGCCCCCCCGGACTTGTCTGGGTCGAAAGCGCTCTGAGAGAGCGAGCCCCGCCGCCGAACCCCCGAGACGCGGCCTCCGAACTGGGGGGCGCTGGACGGAGCTCGGGGGACTTCTTCGGACATGGCGGGCTCGGAGTTGAATCGGCGCTTGGGCGCCCCCGCCAGGGCCGGGCGGAGGGGCGGCTTGCAGCTCGCGCCCAACATGGGCCCGCGTTTCGACCCCGCCCGCATTCAAGGCTGAAGGCGATGTCCACACTTGGGAGGGGTGGATCTGGCGGCGCGAAAATCGGCAACAAGGCTAGCTGCAGCTGCTCCGCAGCTTGGCTGGCCCGCGGGAGGGGAGACTGCGCCACTCCTCGCGCCGCGAACTTTCGGGCTCCATTGCCGTCGAAAAAGACGCAGGAGCACGCAGCCCTAGACAGCTCCGCGACGGCGCGACGCACGCGGGGCCCAACCCTAGCTTGGGATAGCCCACTGCAATCAAACTCGCCCCAGAGAACAGCATGACCGCTGCGGTCGCACAGTGCAAAGGCATGGCCATCGCTGAGTGGGAACTAAAAACTGACGGGGTGCCCAGATGCATCTTGGCAACAATCAGCCGGCATGTCCGCGCTCACTGGCCTTCGCGACGTCATCGCGCTGCCCTTTGGTCCGCGAGCTGATGGCCCCGCGAATCGGCTCCACGCCAAGTCTAGCCCCAGGCCCCGAGTCAAGTTTGATGGCCAAAATCTGCCCACGGTGCCCTTGGGCGTTTTTTTTCCTATTGGGGACTGACCGTCGAGGGCGCAGCGCGCGCCGGGCTGCGCTGCTGCGGCGCACTCCCTTATCATTGGCCAAGTCGAAGGGGGGGCGAGCGCGTCCAGCCAATCCGCTGGAGGGACATGAATGCGCGACGGACTTGGCCCCTACGTTTGGCCCAGATGTGTCCTTCTCGTTTCACTTCCCTCCGCGCGCCGCGCGGATCTTCGACGGGGGCGCGGGGCCAGTCGGGCCCAGCGACGGCGCGCCGCGCCGCGGTCGCCCAGGCAACGGCAGGAGCCATCGCGCTCCTCCACAAGGAGCCCCCTGCAAAGACAGTCTTGGCACGCGCGGGGGCCCCCGCGCGTCTCGGGGCCAGGGGGGCGAGGGGCGCTCCGCGTGCGCTTGTGCTCGGCATCCGTCGCGGCTAGGCCTTCGCCGCGTAACGCTTGCCGATCCTTCGGTGATCCCGGGGGGGCCCTCTTGCACCTGGCCAAAATGCGGCGCTTTCGGACCGCGCCCTGAAACCTGCGCATCCCACGCGCTGCGCGGCCCCCCTTGCGCCGTCGGCCCCCGGGGGCCGGGCCGCAGCCGAGGGGCGCTGCGCGGGCGCTGGCCCGCCGCGCCCGCGCGCCGAAGTTCCCCCCAGGCGATGGGCAACTAGTGGGCCCGAAGCAAACGTTGCAAGTTTGTCGACGGCTAGCTCGACCCCCAGCTCCTTCGCGAAAGCTCCGCGAAGGTCCGCCGCCACGCTGCGCGGGGTCTCGGCGACCGTCTGCGGCTTCCCGCGGCAGCTGAAAGCGTCGCCAACGACTCGCGACGCCAGGCCAACGCTGGGGTCGCGGCGCACGACGCCGCAGGAGGGATCCATCGCATGCGCTCGTGAAATGCAATTGAAACATGGCCTTGCGGGAAGTCCATCGTCGGCGCGCGGCGCCGTTGAGCTGCGGTCAGAGCCGAGGCGCAGAATCCCCAGGCCTCTCCAAACATTGACAGCGTTAGCGATGGCAAGGTCAAGGCCCGCGGCGGGGCCTCTCTCTTTGAGAACCCCAGAACAGAAGCTGTCGTCGTATTTCGTTCCGCCCCAAAAGAACCCAGTTACCGCGCCCCCGCCTTCCGCCGCGCCCCCCACGGCGGCCCCCGCCGCGGCCGCCTGGCCCCGAGCGCAGCGCGCCCGACGAACGCGCGAGCTGTCGCGCACGCGCGCCATCGAGAGACGGCGCAGCGCGCGGCGAAACGAGGCGAGATGCCGCGCGGATCTCTCCCGCGCCAAGCCGTTCGAAGCAATGCCCATCAGAAACCGAGGCGCGAGGATTTATCGAGGCGGCGCCCCGAAAGCGCACGGCCACCTCGGCCCCCTTTGCCCGGAGAACTCGCGGGCCCGAAATAGAAATCCCAGGGGCCTGTCGAACATCCGCGGGCTCCCACTTATTTCCGCGACGGGTGATGCGATGCATTTTGCGAGACGAGCCCGCTAAAGCTTCGGCTCGCCACTCGTCCCACCTTCTGCGCTGCCCCCCATCAAGACCTTCCTTCGCCCCAGAGACCCCCCCCCCCCCGCTCCTCCAGCGCCTCGGCGCGCGCGTCGACCTAGCTGGCCAGGCCGGCGAGCTGCTTCGGCCACTCGGCCGCAATCTGCCCAGCCCGGGCGACGGC